AAATAAATAAACTGCAAACATATGTACTTTGACCGAAACATGATTGCCAGATCAAAATAGAATTGATAGAATCTGCAAAACATAGCTTTTACAGCATACCTCTAACACTGAGGCCACTATTCTTTAGATAATATGTGAGAATTGTTTTAATGATCATATATTATCAATTTTAAATTAGACAATTAAAAAGTTATATACTTTGTAATACATAATTTAAATTTTAATATTGACTGCGTAACAACAATGTTTACAGATGACTATGAGTATCATAAAATAATAGAGTTGTAGTTCTTCTCCTCTCAAATATTTTTGACAAATGATATTTTTCAACAATATCATCACATTATTTTGTTTTGTTTTGTTGTTGAAGAGTCAAGAAAAGAGCTTTATCTTAAATTTTAGAAGCATTACGTATGATGCAAAAAGTTGGACAATAAAAGCATTACAAAGGTTAGTACACACATACATATTAAATATTCGAACGATATGTGAAAGATATTATCATAAACAACTCTAAAAATCATGGCAACAATAAAAATGGTCAATAATTTGCATACAATAGATTATGTAGTTCGTCTAACTTCTAAATAAACAACATTGAAAATAGAACGTCGGAGCCTAATCAAAACATTTTTATATGTTTGAATGAATGAAGTTGTCACATTTTCTATAGGAATATTTACAATCATATTGGTGTATTGTGCTCGAACATACGTACTATTACTTTAGAGTATGTACTTTTATGTAATGTGCGACGATTTCAAAAAATAATTAGTGCCTCAGGATTACATGTAAACAAGATTTTGGAAAGTAAACATTTATTTGGAGATGAAATTCGTTCCTACCCCATGGGGCGAATACTCCTAAGTGTTTGAATAATGTAAATATTTTGCCGAAAAATGTTGCAATATTATTAATGTATTGAGCTCCAATTGGTATGAATATTTCTTATGAGAACGTTAAAAAAAGTGAAACAAAATTACTCGTGAATCATCTAACATAAATAAATAAAAAAACCTAGTGCATGTATAATATATATGCATTATACCTTTATTTAGCTATTCAATGTTTTATTTTTTATTAGAGACTCATTTTTCATAATTTATTGTTTTTTTTTTGGCTTGTATTATGTTATTTCACTCATTATATAGAACATCATTTGAAAAAATTATTCTACATTTATTTTGTTCCTACAATCATATTTAATTTGCACCAAGAGAAAGAAACAAGCCATGCACTACATCATTGCATACGGAAAATTATTGTCAAGCCAGGAATAATTTGCTCAGAGAACAAAGCTTGCTTTCATGATTTTAAAAACTTAATGAAGCACTGGGACAAATTTGAATCATTGTGATGTCCCCACAGAATCTAATTATACAGAAGGCAATCTAATAACAATGCTAAAGACAATTAAGTACTTAAAAAATTATAAGATGTAAAGTGCATTCGCCTAAAAATACAGAATGATTTAAGTCATTATAGAGTTGAATCAACATTTCTGCTCTCTGATAAAAATACAATTTTGATCCGTTTACTTTTCTAAAATCTTTTTTGATACACTATTTTTTCTTCATCAATAATAGTACGTTATGTTGCAATTTGTATCGCTGTTAGAATATTATCATGAAAATAGTTCATTGTTTTTGACGAGTAATGTCCGAAGAATGATACAAATTGCAACATACTGTTAGTGATGAAGAGAAAAGTTGATATACAAAAAAAAAAAAGAAAAAACTTTAGACAAGTAAATGGACCGAAATTGAAAATTTTCCTTATAATCAATATTTATAAAGGATATTTGTAAAGGACGAAAATTTTGTAACTTTATAACTAAACTATATAATCAATTGCCCTAATATGAGATTGCCGACTAATTATATATATGAGATTAATACTTGTTGAGAAATGAATATATGAGATATATGAGCTTTTTTCTAACTAGGGTTTCTCATGAGATCTCTAATTATTCATGTACCTAACAAAATATATATCCTTAAATCTATCCATCCAAAGTGCTTTCGTTTGAAGCTCGCATATGAGATCTACAAAATATTTTATATGATATAGCTCACATAAACCACGGTGTTACACAAGAAACTTTGTTAATTATTATATTGAATTTATTAATTCGAGTCGCAAAATGTTTGACATTTACACACACAACCAATTGATAGACATACAAACTCAAATTTCGAACAGTAACAAACATATATAATTCAGAAATAGAAGGTACGTACGAGGGCGAATAATTACCTGATACATGTGATGATTACAATTAATTTATTAATATTATGATCATTCATAATAATCATCACCATCATCACGATCATAATTCGTGGTGCTCTTCTTCTTCTTATTCTTCTTGTACGGCATGCCCCTCGCTTTACCCTGACTCTCCTTCACACTCCTCAAGTAGGCCTTGACGGCCCGGCCTGCAAAAGGGTTGGTCTCGGCCGTGCCGCCGTTCTCCTCGTAAGCTGCCCGCAGCCGGCCAACGAGGGCGTCGAGGCTGCCCCAGGCCTGCCTGAGCGGGCAGGTGCAAGGGGCGGGCGGGGGCTCCGGCTGCCCGTAGAAGATGCAGCCATCCAGGTGGACCTTGGTCTTCCCGAACTGGTCGAGGTACCTCAGGAAGTCGAGCACGTGGTCCTCCGAGCAAGCGAAGGGCCCCACGGGCGGGCGGTGGTTGGTGAGGAACTGGGCGAAGGTGTTCCAGTCGCGCCTCTTCTGGGACTCGTACCGGCTCGGAGTCGAAGAAGAAGAAGAAAAAGAACCTCCTCTCTCGCCCATCCGGAATAATTTTTTTTTTTGGTGATTGATTGTTCAGTTAATTTGTGGGGTGCTAAATAAGGCAATGTTAAAGGTATTAGCAATATGGATGGTTAACGTCAAATCAACCCATCCCACCTGAGATGAGATGGGAATGGCCCACCACTGCAGTGCACTTGTTCATTATTTGTACCAACGACTATCCCTCTCTACAAAAAATGTTACAGTCCTGTTACGAAATTATTTTATCGAGATTTGTAACTGTTAGATCATCATATAATCGTCGTGGATAGTTGATCTAACGGTTACAAAGCCCGACGAAATAGTTCCATAACAGGACCGTAGAATCTCCCCCTCTCTCCAATTTTTTTACCCTTTTAGTAATATTTCAACTATTCTTGGCCAATTGCTACTGCTAGCTTTATGTGTCTGCCTATGTGTAAGTATCACATGGAATGGAACAACTTTTAGTATCTTAAAATGCACCAAATCTTTCAGGTTATTTTTTCTGTACCCAAATCTTATTCTCTTCACTAGCTCCCAATGGAATCACTAGGACCACCGCTTATGTGATGAATTTTGTTCTCTCTATTGTACAACATTAACCTAGGAACAATGTCTCTAACTTGATCTCTCCCCCTAAAACTTGATTTTATTTTTTTTCTATTTTTTTTTTCCAATTAGGCCTATGTGAGGGTTAATCAGTGGTGATTCTTGGAAGCAGCAAGCACTAAGTGGGGAAGAAGATGGATCTTGGGTGAGATTGGTGTTGTGTACAAATTATTCTTTTTACCGAGTAACGAATCAAAAGATTCGTTCCCCGGGTCGATCTCACGAGGAAGGTGGTTCGGAATTCAACTTTGGTATTGATAACACACAAAATGAACACAACTCCTAAACACTCTAATCAGATAAAGATTGGATGTATTATCAGCTAAGAAATAAAGAGCAAAGCAAAAATATAAATCTACCTAGGAATATGAACGAAACAAAGATGAGAAGCTAGGGAATCGGAGATAATTAAATCAAGTTCTGTAGCAAAATAGGGACATTGATTGTTCGATTCTACATTGACACTCTCGCTTAGTCATCTAGCAGTTCGCTCCCTATAACTCTTCGTAACAAAGGATTGAACATAGACGAACAAACTCAAGCATACAACACAAGTCAATTATCCTCATCCTAATAACTTTTCGTAACAAAGGACGTGACATTAACAAGTACGTATTTCAATCTAAAACACACAGATTATTCAACTACGAAATTCTCTACCTCATGCGAGCCTAGGTCTACGACTTCTCCCCTTTCGGTTCTAAAAGTCGCTCATTAAATTAGAAGAGAATTAATCAACTAACCATTTAGAATAAACAAAACCCTAACTCGACTAACCAACATTCAGTCGTTACCAATTGCAAGATCGAAGTGTCACTCTTCGATTATATCAATCAATCAAGTAAGATTACATCAATCCTTAATCAAACTAACTCGCACAAGAATGAACGAATCAAGCCCGACAAATGAATTTCAAACAAGATCAATCATTCCCTTATCCGTAGCAAAAAAAATCATCTATGTAACATGAATTCAACACAATAAATCAATTCTCTCAATTCAACCATTATTCATGAATTCAAAAGAAGAGAAGAGAAACTTACAATAAATCTCAATTTCACGTGTCGAATATGAATTACAAGCTTAATTCAAAAAGCAAGAATAAATCCTAGATGAAAATTGGAAGAAAATAATTAAGAGAAGAAGAAGAAACGATACGAAGAAGAGGAAGAGGAAAGATGGAGAAGATGAAGTTTTTTGTGGCGTTCTTGGACCTAGGGCTTTCACCCACGGTCGAGAGATTAATTCTTTAACCGATCCCCGAAGCACATATATATAGGGAACATGGTCTCGCGATGTAAAGAGAGTTCGCAGGCGCGAAGAAGATACCTGCCGCGCCGTGAGAGGAGTCCGCGCCGTGAGGGATGATACTGTCGCGCCGTTAAGTAGTCCCGCGCCGTGGAGGATGCTGGTGTCGCGCCGTGGAGTGGTCTCGCGCCGTGAAGGATACTGGTCTGCCGCGGTGTGTTGCTTGCCGCGGCGCAAAGATGGAATCCTGCTCTCTGTATATGCATGATGTGCGCCACGCCTGGGCTCGCGGCGTGAGGAAGGAGCGGGTGCCGCAGCGCGGTAGAGCGCCGCGGCGCGGAGGAGATGCATGCAGCGGTGTGGCATGGTGTAGCGGCGTGGCAGAGGTCTCCTTCACGACGCAGAGGGTAGCGCGCGCGGACGAGCCAACAGGCCTCTCTGACAGAGTCGTGGCGAGTGCCGCGGCGCGGCAATGGCGGGGGACCTGAGCAGAGGTGTTAACTTTCTTGTACTGCTTGTGTCTCGGGCTCGTTTAGGCTCGTCTGGTATCGAAATTTGATTCCGCTTTTTCTTGCTCGTTGCCAACAAAATGCTCTTTTTAATGATATTCTTCCGGTCCATTTATCGTGGAAAGTAAATACTCCGGAAGCATTTGACCTACACACCAAAAACAAAAGAAAACCAGAAAAATATACGGAAAACACACAAAAAAAACTGAAATAGCACGAAACACACAATAAACACTAAAAACGAATAAAAACTAACGAAAAGACTTAAAACGTGGGAAAAAGAAAGATAAAATAAGCACGAAAAATGCAACAAAAATAGGACAAACAACTCCCCCACACTTAAACCTTTGTGCGTCCCAAACAAAAAGAAAAGAAAACAAGACACGAGCATTGATACGGTTTCAAATAAGAAGAGTCTCAAAATGCCCAATTCAATTGAGTCGAATTCCAACGAACGTACGACCATATGCCTCAAATATCAACTTGACCTTGAAATGACAAACTCTCAAAATATAGATCATCATATATGCCTCATTCATTTTCTTACATGAATATATGATAGGTGCGCTCAAAATTGGTCAATATTCAAGTTTCAACATATGCTTGCCAATCGTTTAATTTACTCAGAAACAATCAAAGCTCAAAATATGCGAATCAAGAGGACTTCACGGGTTGTAATGTAGGCTTAGGTAAAGGTACGAATATATAAGGACAAGAAGCTCAAATAGAAAATCACGGTTCTCGAGTATACTCAAGCATTCCACTACTCATCCAGAATCAACAAGGCAAAACACTTACTACCCAACCAACATTTCACAGACAACTCATAGATGCTCAGAACAAGTTGCAACCTCATCACTTAACCTTATTATTTTTTTTCTTACTTTTTTCTTTCTTTTTTTTTCTTATTTGGAGAGTGACTTTTTCCGAACAAGAACGAATCGAAAGGAAAACATTCTATACGTTTAAACATTGGAGGCCATCCAAGTGTCCTACAATAGTTTCCCAATGCTCATTACCCGTTAACGTGAGTCGACTAGTAAGAGGAGCAGAATCCATTCGAATTGTCCTGTGAGCTCTCATGTTTTTTTTTTTAACTGGTCAAGCAAATAAAATGCAACTTAATGACCACCATATTCAGAAATGCCACCAATCCCCCAATCATCACACAAATCAGTCAATAGGTTGACAAAAAAAAGGTTTTAAGCTCAAGGGGCTATACCAGTGGAATAAATTTTAGGACCAAAGAACAAGGTATAAGTGAGCTAGTCAAGCAAAACGCCTCAATCATATTCGCAATTTCAACCTCTAATCGATTTCTTTCAAACAAACTCAAGGCAAGTTCTAATCATTCAAGAATATGACCAATATCTCACAAGAAGAAAAAGTAAGGCTCAAAACCTCACAAGGCAGATAAATGTCACTCAAAGTAATCAAGCAAATACTGAGGCAATAGCCAACACGTTCGTTATCACAACTTCCCAATTTCATCAAACATTCATCAACACAACTTATAATCCACCAATACTATGCTCATGGACACAAAAAACCTAAAACTAGACCGGTCCACCATATAAACATACAAAATCCAAATAGGCTCCCCCACACTTAGAGTGAGGAAATGACCTCGTTGCTTCAACACAAAACATGGAATCAAATAATATGATCTAGCAGTTTCATATAACAAACTAGCACCAGCAACTACCACAGGACTCTAAAGAAAAAAGAGAAGGAGAAAACAAACTAAAATAAAAAGGGAAAAGGGTGTGCAAACCGAAAACGCCGAAGGAGAACAAGCATCCACAGGCAAGCTACTCGCCTATGCTCTGCCCAAAACTTCGATACTCTTCCTGCTCCAGCTCATAAATAGTACCTGCCGAGAAAAACACAAAAAACTCCAAACTCCCATTATTCAAGATAAAATAAAAGAGCATAAAGAAAAATATCTAGAAAGCAGAAAATCGCTTGGGTTGCCTCCCAAGAAGCGCTTGTTTAACTTCATTAGCTTGACGAGACCTTCGGGGAACTCAGTCGGGGTCTAGGAAAAACTGACGGTCTTGCACGCCTTCGTGTTTTCGAGAAGTGGCAGTGCTGGCACTAAGGCCAGAAGGCAGACACGGGTGGCTCGAGTAGCAATATTCTTCTGGAACTGGGCATGGGAGCAAGGTGGGGTAACGAAGTGGCCTAGAGCTCTCTTCACCGAAACTCCATTGTCAACCAATGGAAGGATAACATCTGTGGAGCATAGAAGGACCACTGAGGCCTTCTTGATGGGGCATGACTGCTCAAATGAGGGACTCTCGAATGTGGGCTCAGAAGTTACCTCCATCAAAATATCACCCTCATCTGCTGGGAGCACATCCTCCTCTTCTTCCGTCTCGCCCTCGTAAATCTGATAGTTAGTGCTCAAGGTCTCATCGACTCGTGTCTTGACGGATTGAATGTGATCCATTATCCCATCGAGCTGATCCACCATTCGGGTACATCCCCCCTCAATCTTCTCTAGTCGAGTTTCTTGGGCCGCCACACGAGCAAAGATGAGGTCGAGTTTTTCATCGCTCGTCAAGGTATCCTCTCGGAGTCCACCCATATATGTAAACTCGTCTTGCATGATGGACTCGGGAGAGAAAACTCGGTCCTCTATAACTTGAA